GAAGAAAATCATGACCTTTCCCTGTTTCAGATAATTTAATAAAATTCCCTACTTCTCAGATCTATTACATTTTCCATTTTTTTTTCTTTTATATCATTTCTCAATTTGGTATGACGGGGACTTGGAATAAAAGATCCACGTCACTAACAGTGAACAGGCTACTCATGTAAGAATACATGACTTTTCATTCACTCGCTTGCAAGGGTAGCACATTGCATGACTCATGAGTCCTGCTGCCATGTTCTACAGCTTCATGTTTGATCTGGAAATCTGGCCCCTTACCCTAACAGACACTTGTGCTTGAAGTCCTTTCCTGAAGGGAGTGAATACCAAGAGTGTCTGAAAGGCCTGGATACAATCCCACCAAGTAAAAAGCAAATGACTCACTGCACAGGGAGTCTAACCCTTGCAGAGCACGAGGGACTTCCTCAGAAAACCCTCTCCTGAGACGTTAAATTGCACCCTAGTGGTTTCCCCAGAAAAGAGTAACTTTCTCCTGTTTCTTTTTTTTTATAAAAACATATTTTGCTGTTTCATTTCTCAGATTTCAAAAAAATATGAAGCATATGATGTAAACTGTATAGAACACTTGTGCGCTGGCTTAAAGACACACTCGAGAGAGTTATACCTCCATCCTTGTGATGGCTCCCAATGGAGTTTGTTTTTCCATTGTGTCATCAACATTCTAAACACATTCTCAATGCTACAAGAGAAACCTGGGGGGGGGGGGACCCAGCAAAACGAAGGCAAACAAAAATAAACCAACAAGACAGATAAAAACCAACCGGGGAAACTTATACTGCAACCCCTTTTTAGTTCAGATGATAAAGATGCGTTACACGGAAGATTCTGCAGAACCAGGCTTTCTTGCATAGTTTACATGGCTAGAACAAAACTATTGCATGTGGTCAAGGAGTTACTTTCCAGGAAGTCATTGCCCCTTGGTTCCTCTTTAACTAAGAAGCAAATCTTCCCAACTGGGACAGTGCCCAAAGCCTTCTTGTGTTCCACACTAACTCTCTTTCCCCCCCAGGAAGGAAGATATCTTTGTGCTCCACGGTTTTGTCTCTACCTTAAGTGAATCCTTCTGGTTTTGAATTATAGCCAATTAAAGCTTAAAAAAAAAGTTAATTGCAAGGGGTTGAAAATGTAACCCCAATTTGCAAACTGGTAAGGAAGAATTCCTTTATTAAGTAACTTGTTCCTAGTTACAGATTAAACACATGTATTTATTATATAACACCAGAAACTGTAGAAAACAGGCTCTTTGCAATCCTTTCACACAAACCAGTGACCTTTGTCAAACACCTTCACTTTATACTGAAATTTAGCACTTGCTCCCCTACTCTGTGATTCATGCTTTCAGCTAAATGTTAGCTGTTCAGATGCTGGGGCATAGCTAACCTCTTCCAATCTCAGAGAACAGGAAGGCCAGGACTGATCTGGACTACTGCAACTTCAAGCCTGTCTTCATCAAGCCAAACAAACCAAAGATGCTCTCATGGATAAACAGGCTTGGTAACACAACCCAGAAGGCAGAGCCCACAGAATGAGGATGCATTAGTAAACAAAAGATGTTTGAAAGCAACACAGACCCCAGAAAAGGTTTGCCAAGTGGTCTCATCAACCAACAAATGCCAACTGTGACAATTTCTTGACTTTTTCCAGGGTGATTTACAACAATCTGTTTTAATTTTGCACATTCACATTTGAGATCCTGTGTTTTTTCTTCTAACATCCTCTAATGAACCAACAACTCAAGGCTGAATGCATTTATGCTACTTTTAATTGTATCTCCTCTTTTTTCTACACCTACACTATTTTGAAACAATTGGGGATTCTTTTTTTTTTTTTTTAATGAAAACCACTTATAAAACAAAACTAAAGACTCCTTAGAATCTAGTTATAACTGAGGAGTTTACCTTAAGTGAAGAAATAAATAAATAAAATGTGTGTTAAATTTAATTAAAAGAATGGAGCCCCGGAAATGTTTTTGAGATTGTGGTGTGTGTGTGTGTGTGTGTGTGTGTGTGTGCACAGACGCACGTGTGTGCATACACACATTCTCATGAGTTCTTACCAACCTCCTGCTGTCTATGTCAGACTCTGGTTACAATCTGCAAGTGAGTAATCATGTCTCCTTTCAATTGTGTGCTACACATTTTTCTTAAATACCTAGACACTTGTAATTTCATAGTAAGCTTTTCGTTTTAATAGATTAAAGAAAAGCAGCGTTAGCATAGAAATAGGTCACAGAGCACCACAACACTGCAGCTGTGGACAGCTGTCCTCAGAGACCTTCTGCATGGAAGGAAGTGACGATGTGGCACCACTTTGGGGGGAACGTGGGGACGAATACATTTTCAGAGACACGTAGAAGCTTCCGTACTTTCCAACCTATTGGAATTAATTAAAAATAGGATGCATATGTGCTTATGGTCACATACTTCCTACTGGTCTTGAGGAAGATCTGTCTAGGAAGCTTGGCAGACATTCAGAGTAAGATTAGACTATTTTAACATAGAAGAAAATAAAGCCCTTCTGATTTTACCATTGTGTTCAGATAGTCAATGCTATACTTAAATCTTATTTCTAAAAACCTCTATGTTATTCTGGCCCTGTGCTTGTTATAAGCAACAACCAAAAAAAAAAAAAAAAAAACAAAAAAAAAGGTTTCTTCACAGATCGAATTACAAGAGTTAGTGGAAACTCTTGATCTATGTCTTTTAAGAGAGGTGCACAAAAGCAATCAAGAAGAGATTTAGAATCTTCCAACACTCTTCAAAGTACAGAGCTAAGTGCAGAGGCTGAGTCAAATTTTAAATTTTAAATAATACTCAGAATTGATAACTTTATACATAGGAGGTTCTGCCCCAAGATTCAGGCCTGTGTATCTAGCCTTATCTTTTATTAAAAAGGAGAGATGTGTACATTTCAGAGTTAAGAAATTTAACAGGCATTTTCAGATCAATCAACAGCAAATCTGATTTTTTTTGACAGTGAAACAAATTCACTTTAAAATACTGCTATCAAAAACATGCCATGATCAAAAGGTCCATAGTAAGCACCACTGTGAGCTATCTAAAATGATCCCTGCTGATGAGCCATGCAGCTTTGGCAGACACCCTGCCTGCCATTGCCTTTCCTGTGATGCCGAGTCTCAGCTGAAAGACTTTGAAAGGATCCCATTCAATTCTCATCCTATTTTTAGCTTTAACCTCCCTAAGCAAAGATCTTACTACAGAGACTGGACTTTCAGCAGGATCATTTCACAGTGTGTCTCCTGTGAAGGCTCTGTCTCAAAATCCGCCAAGCAGCTCTCCTAGCAAATGTTCGCACAACTCTCCTCTCCAAAGCATGTTCTCTAAAGAAAGAGTAACCAAGGACTTTGTCATCTGCAGAGTGATATCACCAGAATCTTACCAAGTACCACTTGGGAAAAGACAGAGGTTGCAAGCAGAAGATGAAATGCTAATATGGGTAGTATGTTTTGAAAAGCTCTTTGTTCAGGGAGGAAGTATGGTCCAGAGAGAAGACACTGCAGTGGGCAACCGACTCAGAGCTTTCTCTCTCCACTACCAATGGTGTCACCCTGAACCAGGCACCCCGCCCCCTGAGATCACAGTGATGCCATCAGTACAAAAGAGTCAGCGCCAGCTTGCATACCTGGAGGACTTCCAGGAGCTCCTTAATACAGAAAGAAAAACCAAAGTGGTGAGGAAAATCAGCACAAGTGGATGTTGTTTAGTTACATAACACGGACAGATTTCCACCTCTGGCCAAGATCTATCAAGAGGATCGAGATTTCACCCTCCTGGCAGAGAAAAGGTATAGATGGAATAAGTAAGATAAGCAATCTCTGCAAGGTAAGGAGCATGGACCGCAGAGAAAGAGCAGACACACAAGATGAGGTCCTAAAATTGTCAGCTTCCACAACCCCCGAGTTTCCCAGACTGTGTAGGTAGGGAATCTAGGCAGTGGACTCCAAGAAGGCAGGAGTCACTAGAGCCCCAGTTAGCTGGGCTTGCAGGACCAAGTGCTCTGCAAGGGACTTGTAGCAGGTCCTTTGATCCTCCTGACTGCATGCTGGTGTAAGAAACTGAGGCTAGGAGTAAAAAGTACCCCATAGGATTAGAGGTAACAGTGCCTGCAGTCCCACAGAGACAGGAATTACTTGTTCATGGCAGTCCATTTAGAAACTCAGGATTCATGGCAGACTAGTCAAAGTGATCCTGATGGAAAATGGGAATAACAAGCTATATGCAGAAAATGGATCCACTCCACCTAAATCTAAAAATAAAATACAAGAGGGATAAACTGCTTCCAGGTAAACTAGCCACATTTAAACCAAAGTCTGAATAAATTTATAGTTATACAAAAGTATCTAGCACCCAACAATATAAAGTTTATATTGTATAATAGGCAATAAAAATATACCATAAACATTCTCCGTTGGAAATAACAAGCATCATCATTAAAGTAGGGGGGAAAAATCACCTGGACCAAGAATTCTATACCCAGCCAAAATATCTTCCAAAACAATGGTAAAATTAAGGTATTTTCAAGCATAAAAAAACCCACTAGCTTATACACATTCTAACCAAAAGAACCCAAACCTAATCCTGCATGCACTTGAACACATTAAGGAAGTCCTTTGGGCAGAAGAAAAATGGTACATGGTAAATATGCAAAGAGAGACGATGAGAAATCAAGACTACATTAGGTAGAGGTGTTACAGTTTCTTATTCCATAAAAAAGATTAAAATGATAGCTTAAAGAAAAATATCAATGCTTCATGGAAAATTATATAAAGGCAATAGCCAAAAGAGAGAGGGAAGCCCAACATTGACCTATGACCCTGTGTCTTTAAGACACACTGTACGTATATCACATCTATAAATAAAGTGCTTATGGCTAGCTTCTTTTGTGTGGCCTCCACCCCCAGGGTCTCAACACACTACTGATGCTGTGACCTGAAGCAAGAGCTCAATGTGACTTACCCTTGGAGGCACTGCCTGCAGGGCGGTGATGTAATTCTCGAGGGCTAGGCGGCGGCGGTCATTGAGCATGGCTTCAACTCTGGCCATGTGTGTCTCTACAAGCTGCTGTCTCTCGTTGGCTGCTTCCTGTTCCAGAGATTCCACTTTTTCCTGGAAATGCTGACATGAAAAACACACAGAACATATTTGTTAGTGTAATTATTAATAGAGAGATAGTCTCTTGCAGACTGGTTTTAGTTCTAAATTTCTAATATCACTTGAATCTTCCAAGGGACTGCAGTAACTGAGAATTTCAGCCTCTCAAAAGATGTATCATTAATGAAAAGAAGATTGCAAGCACCAGTATAAATTTAAGGTGATTAATTCTAATTTGAAATATTTGTGAGGAAATGTAAGGAAGCAACTTATTACTGAGACAAGGAGTGAGAATGATCCAAGTTCATGCAAATATGAACACAGGGGCTTCCAGCATTCTGGTAGCCTGCAGGTCCTTGATGAGTGAGGGTGGATATGTCCTTTCTCATGTGGAGATGGGGGTTGGGTGGTACCTGGATGACAGCCTTCTTGTCGGCTTTGGGCAAGTTCTTGGCTTGACGTTCTGCCTCTTCCCATTCTCTCATGACCTATGAAGATGACAAAAAGACTTTTTTTAAACACAGATTTAACTGGATGGATTATATTATACAATGTCTTCTATTAAAAACACACCACATGGCTATCCCTATGTGAGTAACATTTGTCCTACAAGAATATAAATAATTTATGCCGCAGTATGGTGAATATAAATGTCCACGTTTATTTCATCCTCTTGAAACAAGGTTGGTTCACCTTTTCGTTTTCCTTGAGAAATAGCTGAAAGTCATTTTAGCTGATGTGAGTAAATACTGATTATTCATAAAAGGCGTATGCTATCTGAACAAGGTCTGCCATCAATAAACTAAACACACTGGTTTTAATCTTTTATGACATCAAGTCAAAACATTTCAAATGGTGTATTTCAGGTACGTGTGTGTGCGGACTCGGAATACAATGCCACAAAGGAGAAATGATGCAGAAAGGACAGGATACTTGTCTGAAGTCCTAAGGTCCATCCTTAGCACATATCAAAAGTAGACTCTTGCTCAGTAACCTGCATCAAGAATAGCAAAGATTACTCCAAATCTACCAGCAAGGAAATTCCAGGAAAGTGTGCATTATAATCTTCTGAAGGTGGCAAGAGGTAAGACAGTAATTGAGTAAGCAGGCTGTGTGATGTGTCATGACATTTTCCTGCTTGACGTCCACCTAGAGGTCCCCAAGAAACTCTCACTCACTGATCAGAATATAGTGTCTATAGCTGTGTGTTGCTGAATGAAAATGCAGGTTAGTTTCTCATGGTCCGTGGCTGCCCTTTCTTTTTTTGGTGTATTGTCTGTGAAGTGAGTTTAAGTGTGAAGTGAGCTTAATGAAGGAAGATGAAATAAGCAAAAAACCAGTTGCTTACAAGGCATGTACTTGTGGACTTTTTATATATTTTTCGAAATTGCAAAGAGAACAAAGCTTACAAAGTCATGGCCAATCAGCACGAGGGTTGTTTTTTTTTTTTTTTTAAGTTAATTTTTTGAGAACAAGATACAGGGACAAAGTACAAACTTTGTACTTTGTGCTTGTGTGTTTCTATTAGTTAATAAAAGGCAGTGGCGGACAAAGGGGATATTGAAGACACTCTTTGCTTTATAGATGAGATAAGCCTGGGAAGAAAAATGTTTCAATTTCCTGTATGGAGAAAATGCTCTTGGGGTAGCCGTGTTCTTATGAGAATTCCTCAGGCAAGAAATCTCGAAATTAGTTTGAGATAGAAACCAAATGCTTTAATGGGGAGTGAAAACCTATTCCATTTATTATGTATATGCCTTGTTATCATCTCATCCTGGACATCCAGAACCTGGACTGCCCTCTTGAAACTGCAGACCCACGAAACAACTACGATTTACCTAGCTAATGTTTTGAAAATATGTATTACAATATAATTGAACACAAATATTGATTTTTCAGAACAATTTAACAGTATCTTCTACTCTCACCAAATCCATGACCTACACCACCACTTTAGGAATACAAACAGACACACAGTGGGTGAAAGATTCCCCCTTCACTAGTGGCTTTCACTGGGGTACACTCACAATAGATAACATTGCTCAATTAAGTGCTCTACCAAATCTGTCTGAGTTAACTGATTCTTCCCAACAGGCCCTGTTATTGTAACGGCCACTCTCACTCTACAGACAAGTTTGAGAAAGCTATGAGAGAGACAAGTGGACAAGGAATGATGATAGACCAAGTAGCCTACTGGTTTATTGTATAATATTACATCAACAAAAGTGTCATCACAGAGTGGGACATCTATCTACCAGGAAAGTACCAGTAGCTGTCCCTAAGATGCCCCTGAATATATTAAAAAACAAAACAAAACAAAACAAAACAAAACCCTCAGCATCAAGGTGAATTTTCATTTTGAAGGACTTCCTTCTACATGCACACTAAAACAACTAAATACAATACGTAAATGAGTGTGCTGAATAATCTTGCTTGTCAACTTGACAGGATTTTAGGATCACCATGGAAACAAGTCCCTGGGAATGACAGTGGGGGTTGCTTCTGGATTGGGCTAATTGAGGTGAGGACATTCTCCCTTGCTGTGACTGGGGATTCTGGACTGAAGGAAAAGGAGAAAAGGAGCATGCACTCCGCTTTCTTTCTGCAGATTCGAGCAAGGTGGCTCGCTGCCTCAAGCTCCTGATGCCCGCCCCGATTATCGTGTCACTATGGACTCGTAAGCTGCAGGAAATCCTCCTTTCTTGAGTTGCTTTTGTCAGGCTGTTTTCACCATAACAAGAAATAACTAATACAGTCATAAAAGAGCTTTTAGGTTTTTTTTTTTTTTTTTTTTTTTTTTTTTTTTTTTTTTTTTTTTTTTTGTGTGTGTGTGTGTGTGTGTGTGTATGTGTATGTGTTTATTTATATCTGCCACATGCTAGCCGCATTGCAGCCAAGATCTTCAGATTGCTAGGTTGTGGTCCTCATTAACATCAATAAAAATATCTTCCCTAACCCTCTGTATTTATAACAGAAATAGATGAAGTCTGTTATTTTACATGCTAACCCCAAAATTAATTAAAACTTACAATAAAGGCAATGCTAGAAAGTCCCACAAGTGAAAACTTGAAATCCTCTGGACCTGATATTCAGGGCTGTACTGTGTATCTCTGTCCAACAGTTTTTCACTGTGTGCAGACAGATATCAATCCCATCAGGAATTATGGCTCTTCAGCGTCCAGGCTATGTCACACAGAGCGAGGCAGACAGGCTCAAAATAAAAACGTCCCAGAATTCAGAAGCAAAGATTATGAAGATAAAAGCCAGGGAGCCTCACGAACCCACCAGACAGCATTCTCTGATCTAGGATGTTCACAGCTAAGTCATCTTACATCTGTGGTGAGAAGGAGAAAATCTCCCAGAAATATATGCACTAAGTCCTGGATTAACTAGCTATGCTCACTAGGGTTCTCACTTCTCCTACATAGTATCTAAGAAGCCAACAGTGTACTTGAAACTAGTTTCCTTAATTGCATAAAATACCTCAGATACAGAGAAAAAAAATTCCATGGGTCTTAAAAAATATTTAAAAAATAGAAGGATTTGCTGTGTTTAAGAATGAAATACAAGGTTGATATATCTTATATAATTTTATACAGACTGAAAGGAGTTAGAATGTAGTAGAACAGAGGATATGAGTATAAAAAACACCAATACATAAATTATTATACCAAGCTTTAGAATCAAATAAAATGTAAGAACTGCTTGCCTCAATTCAAAAATTATAGGAAGACGAGCAGGAAGATGTTTTTGAAATAAACCAAGGTCAAGTACAAAGTGAGCCCCAGATGAGGGGAGCCGCTTCTGGCTGCAGACAAGTCAGGCCAGCAGATGAATGGGGCAGGGGGCATTGACACAAGGCTGGGCCCACGGTGCGGTGGCAGGCACTGAAAACATCACACTGGCTCTCTGTGTTTATTGCACTTTCTGCAGACTTCTGGGCAATTCATATACACAGCACTGTTATTTTTTAAGGATCACAGGGAAGCCTCTGAAAACTTCAGAAAATGAGATCAATTTTGAGTTTAAGGGAGGGAATTATAGTAAATCCCGCTGAGTCTTCCCACGCCTTCTTAAATGACCTTTCTAGTAAATAATGTGAAAGATCCTGATTTTCAGATTGATTGATTTTAGTCAATGCTGTTCCATTCAGCTGGCTTCCCAGCTCAACACACTTTTAGGTTTTCCTTGCAGGCAACTGTTAGAATGTGGATTATAGTTTGTGGCCCGAATTACTGTGGTCTAATGTGGCCATACAATCCTTTTTTCTTAATGTTATAACTGCAGAATAGAATATTAGAGCTAGTCATCTTTCAAGACACAGCAACCGTGTCCTGCTTTTTGACATTCATTGTTTAAAATAAGGATTTTCCTGATATTCCAGTACAGTGAAGCCAACAGCTGAGGAGATGAGTTCCATGGTGAGGATAGCGAGTGGGTCATGATTCTGCAGTACCCAGGGACTGCTCCAGGGTCACTCAGGCAGAACACTGATGGGGGCACTGAGTGAAGTCTTAGAGGGCATGTAAGAAGAAGGAGGAGTGAAGGTAAGCGGGCTTACGAATGACTAAGTTTGGGTCAGCCGGGTAGTTCCAGGGCATGTGAGTTTCCGTACGGGATGGTGCTGGGTTCAGGTTGAACAGAGCAAGTAGGTAGTGACTGGGACACAAAAGCAGGTAAAGGAGTTAGCTGGGATTTGGTCCAAGGGAGCCGGCACAGTGTAAGGTTATGGGTGTTCTTCTTCCCATCCCACACGCTTCTTGGGAAACAGCTTATATCACTGGGCTGGAACTGTCCAAGCTGACTAGACTGGCTGGCCAGTAAGCCCCAGGGACCTATCCATCTCTGCCTCCACAGCACCGGGTTACGAGCACATGCCACCAGGTCTGGCTTTTGTGTTCTGGGAACCAAATGCAGATCCTCGTACTCAGCAGGTAACAGTAAATAGTGTATTGATAGAGCTATATCTTTCCATTCTTTAAATAAACCTTACCATGCACATTTAGAGTATATAGCCTACTATGGGATATACATAGAAGTTTACCACAGCATACCAGTTAACAGCTATCACCTCACCGTCTCCCCAGAGTACTTTTCCTTAACAGAGAGACACAATTTAATCTGTGCTTCAAAATCCTCCTGTACTTGCCTTTATTTGGTAACACTGGGTATGTGAGGAAATCCTACAATCCGTGTCCTCAGGGTAAACATTTAAATTAAACTTTATGTCTAATGATCCAGCTGAGCCATAGGCAAGCCCAGATCTTTCTTTACACAAAGCAACAGAAGATGGGAGAATCCACTATACCTGAGACATCCTCTCCCGGTGCTTAGCTTCTAGCCGCTCTTTGGCTTTCTGGAAATGGGCGTGTTCGTTCTCATCACCAGGTGTCTCCAGGTACTTGTCAACAGCATCAGGGGTGCTTGCTGCTGTTGTAGGAACTAGAAAGGAGAAGGGAAGGCAAGTTGAGAAGAGAAACGGAATGCCCAGTCTTTGTAAGAGAGCCAATCATTTGTCAGGACAGAGAATTCTATAAGGAAGCACACAAAAGATGCCAGTGATGTCTAAAGAAGCACCCAGAGACATTTCACCATGCCTAGGGCATGTTTCACCTCTTCAATGTGTTGGGAAAAAAAGTACATTAAAACTACAGCATTTAAAATGTCTTGCATAGACAACCTTTCCTAGAGTAGTCATCGCTTAATATGACCATGTTTTATCAAATCCTCATGCTCTGCTTGGTTATTTTGTAATCTTGAAAGCAAAATAATGGTATCATCAGTATCATGTTATAATTCCTGTAGAAACCAATAAAATCTGAAAATAAGGCTGTTGCAAAATTAAGGCGTCTCAGCAAAATGGGAACTCAGCACATTGTGTTTTAGACAGCTTAATTACAAAGCCACCGTTCATGATAGAATTTGAAGCACAATGGGAAGAAATATAAACATTAATAAGTACTGTTTAGAAACCACAAAAGGACAGTCAATCTTCACATATTTGGCAATAATCTATAATGCTTCACATTGTTTGTTAAAAAGACAGTGATTTCTATTTTCAATTCATTACCACCAAGCAGTATCTGAATTTGTAGCATCTGCTGTGATGTTATATGGCAACAAGGTACTCATAAAACTGAAGAGTGAACTATAGAACAAAAATGTCCTAACTCACAAATGAGTAGTGACCAGCAAGAGTTGAAAGTATTTTAAGAGTGTTAAGATGGACAGAGAAGAGAGACAATTTTAAAGAGGAGCATGGCTTCCCCACAAACATGAAATGAAATGACATCACCATCTTCAAATTCAACCACTGTTTCTTTTCACATATCTCATCAAATTCCTGGAGTAAAAGGCTCTGGATACAATATCCCCAAGAGTAACTGAATGTCACAGCTAAGTCGTATGAGAGTAGGACCTTGTATACATATTTGGGAAAATGACTGGAATTAGAATCAAAGGTTTAACCACATTAAGAGAAACCAGAATTTATTTTGCTAAATAAGAGAAACATGCATTCTGATTTCCTTTCCTTTGGTCATCAGTTTACCATGATTAAAAACAAAACAAAACAAAACAAGTCCACCACTGAGATGTCTGTCCAGGTGGGGCATCCAAGCAGAAGGGAGGAGGTAAAGGCTTATTTTTGGAACCTCAAAGAGCTGTCCCCACCCAGCTGATAAAAAAAGGGAACATGGAAAAACATACTAAAATCTATACTCCTAAAGAAGTTAAACAACAAGGAAGATCCTAGAGAAGATGCCCAATCCTCATTCAGAAGGACAAATGCGATAGACGTTGGAAACAGGAAAAGACAGGGAATAGGACAGGAGCCTACTACAGACGGCCTCTGAAAGACTCTACTGATTGAGGTTTCGAGGCAGAGGCTGAGACTCAGAGCCAAACTTTGGGCTGAGGACATAGAATTTTATGAAAGAAGGGGGAGATAGAAAGAACTGGAGGGACAGGAGCTCCAAAAGGGGACCAATGAGCCAAAAAACTTGAGCTCTGGGAGCCCTGCAGAGACTGATACTCCAACCAAGAACAATGCATGGAGAGGACCTAAAACCCTGGCTCAGATGTAACTCATAGACTCAGAATCCATATGGGGTTCCTAGTAAGAGGAGTAGGGGCTTTCTCTGACATGAACTCAGTGGTTGGCTCTATGTTCACCTCCCCCTGGGAGGTGCAGCCTTGCCAGGCCACAGAGAAAGACAATGCAACCAGTCCTGATGAGACCTGATAGACTAAGGTCATACAGAAGAGGAGGAGGACCTCCCCTATCAGTGGACTAGGGGAGGGGCATAGGGTGAGAAGAGGGAAGGGAGGGTGGGAGTGGGAGGAGAAGAGGGAAGGGCCACAGCAGGGATACAAATTGACTAAATTGTAATAAATGATAATAATAATAAAAAGGAACATTTGTCCAATGGGAAGAAGGAAGGAAGGTACATGTGTGATCAGGCCCAGCTGGATGTGACCCCTAGACCAACCATGTTTTTACACCAGCTGGTACCTAGGGCAAGCGTAACTTCAGCAGTCTGAAATCCAGGATATTTATCATAGTGGTGACATTATGTCTTGTTTGCATCCTTCAATTAAGCGTCAGTCACATGGGATACCCCATGCATACTAGTGCCTTTACTGCCTCCTTTTGTTTTGTCTTGTGGTTATCTTTTATGCTAGCCTTGGAAAAATCAGATATGTTTATTTCTACTTCACTGAAAATAAATTAGAACATAAGACTGTGCAATGTCATTTACAGGAAAAGCAACATAAATTCTTCTAAAAAATATTAAACTTATGTATAGCCCATATTAACCACTGAAGTAAGTAAAATATGTGGTTTCTTAGCCCGAATGAGTGAAAAACTATTTGCAATTTTAAACACTGTCCGTAAAAGAAAAGATACCAAAGACAAATGTGTTTGCTTTGCACAACCTTGAGCAAATCAATATACACATGTTTCTTAACCACCTTATCAAACCTTGCTTCCCATGAATCTAATCATTTTTTTTCCCTCTTACTGGCAGACTGAAAATGAGCAGCTACAGTAAAAGCCAGTAAAGAAATAGCATCAGGCTGCGGTGACCAAGCAGAGTGTTTTGCACTTCATACAGTGGAAATTCTCTGATGCAAACCGCCATCTGCTGTATATACAGTCAGAGTTCAGTTCATCTTAGAAAAACATACTCTGATTAGTCTAAATTGAAATGTAGGCCTGCAATAATGAGAATAAAATAATAACCAGGAAATAAGCATGTGAGATATGTTTAACAATGGCAAGGTTGTTTCAAATATATTTCTTATAGCACATTAAAAAATCAACACATTACTTTATTACCATTTATTCTGCGTCATCAAGATATATTTCTATGCTAGTTAATTTGTCAATTTGAGTGAGCTACAGGGTACCCGAGTCATTTTGGGGTGTGTATGTGTGTTTCTGTATAAAATTAGTGACTGGATCGGAGGTTCTCAGTTGACTGAGCTTCTCTGAGAGAATCTGAAAATAACACAAAGATAAATTAAGGAGGTATTTGTGTTTCTGGATTCTTGCCTGCTTGACCTGGGATGCTGGTCTTTGGCCTTTGGACTGGAACACGCTGATTCCCATGGCTTTGCCCAGTCATGACCTTACCCATGAGTCAATCATGTATGTAATCATCAGTCTCCACAAACACCACAGAAGTTAGTTCCTCAAAAGTCTGATTGTATATATATATGTGTGTGTGTGTGTGTGTGTGTGTGCTTATGTGTGTGTACCTACAAACACATGCACCGTTTCCTTAAAGAAAATCTTTCAAGGAAACTGTGTGTAGTCCAGTTACAACATACTGTTGGAAGCTTCTTTTCCAGTATTTGTTTCAAGCTCGTAGCCATTTATACTAACCCTCCTCCATCCCAGTCGGTATGGGTGCATGAAATGATCCTAAATTTTTTAAAAATTCTTTATTAATTACACTTTATTCACTTTGTATCTCCCCTGTGGTTTCCTCCCTCCTCCCATCCCCAACACTCTCTTCCTCCCCCCTCTGCATGCATGCCCCTCCCCATGTCCACTGATAGGAGAGATCTTTTTAAACTGACTGATAAACAGAAAGACTATTTAGTGAAGGCAACAATAATGACAGTGTATGTCAATATTTAAAGTGACAAATCTTTCATTCTCATTGTTCTGTGACAAGGAAGATTGTTGAAGGGAAGACCATCCAGAGACCTCAGATTCTGTTTCCCCAAGTCCCCACGTTTGAAAGCCATTATGCTCCCAGGAGCAGATCCTGTATTGTAACAAAACCCAGTGCAGGCCAGAGTCTTGTCAATTCAGGTGATGGGAAGTGGCCAGTTCGCATCCCACGGGTATTTCTTCTGGGGAAAGAAGTGACCCAAACAATGCCAGTTTCTGTATGTCTCAGAGCACAAGCAGCAGGAGCGGTATTCATGTCTCTCAAGACAGATCACTGGATCCAGTCCAAAAGTGGAGACAACTTTGGGAGGGTTTATTTTTTACTTCAACATTTAATTGTTTGATTGTTTGTTTTTCACATGCACGGGGTCTTGTCTTAGGACTGGCTGGCCTCAAACTGGCAATACCCCTGCTTGAGCCTTCAGAGTGCCTGTGCCACATCAGACTAGGGTTTTAACAAAACAAAACTGTATACTGTCACAAAGCATAAAAACTGTGCAGAAATCTGAGTTTCCTTAGAAGGCTCAAATTTCCAATGTGGTCAAAGAACTTTCACCTCCTTTTTATTACCACTTACTGTGCTAGGAACATGTATTTTCATTTGACATGGAGGGAGGAAAAAAAATGATCTCTTTCATTGTATAGAAGATAAACCCAGTATCTGATAATAATCAGAATATGAGTGCAGGATTAGGTGAACCATGAAAGGGCTAGATTATTTTTTAAGTAATAAAGAGCCAATTTATCCACATGTCCAGGTCAACTGGAAAGGGACTTTGTTGTTTTAACTTTTTAATGAACGTGACTTAGCCAGAAATACAGCTTGTTATAAATATGTAGGACTATTTCCTACTGAACAGCTGTTTTGTCCAGAACCGTGTCTGGTAAATGACTTCTAAAAGAAGCAGGTCATAAAACAGTGGTCCAAGGAATGCAGCTGGAATACTCATGAAACTTCACCTGGGGTGATGTGCTCACTCCTGAGCATGCTGTGGAGGGCATGGCCACCCTTCTACAGAAGACTAGCCTCCAGATGTAAGAGAAAAACACAGCTCCAGGTTTTTACTCCTATATCCCTAATCAACAGCAGTGCTACCAGTATCCAGTGTCCTATGCTCAGGCTTCTAACGTTCAAGTGACTCTACTACTTAAAAAACAACAGAAAACAGAAACAAAGCAATAGAAAAACATTGTTAATTCAGAGCCCATTACTGTCCTGAGATGAATATTGTACTTCTAAATATCCAGGAGTATCCTG